GCAGCTAAGAAGAAGCTTCAGTCTGTAAGTACAACTTTCAGTGTGCTGTGAGACACATCTTTGCCTGGACGTGGCAAACTCTGCACTACATGAAGCGAGTCTTCACTGTTCAGTGAAGCCCAGATCTACAGTGGTGTCTGGATACCTAATTCCCACAATAGGTCTGCTTAACCCCAAATAAACAAGGTCTTTTTGTGATCAGATAGAAGAGGAAAAAAAAATCCATTATCCAGTAAAGGAAAAGGGTAGAACAGTGATGTTGTCTCTGTATGTAGGTATTGGGTGGCTGTACAAGTCTGTGTAATGGTTTACTTCACTATGCAGGCTGAGAAACAAGCAGTTATTTAGGCTGAAAAGCAGCCAAGTAAGAGCAGAGTTGTACTCTCATATTTTCTATGTTATGGAGGTCATGTTAGGCTTCATTTATTTTCAAGCTGTAATTACTCTCTTCTACCCTTAGCTAAGCAACCACTTGTTTGAAGAACTTGCCATGGATGTGTATGATGAAGTGGACAGGAGGGAAACAGATGCAGGTGAATGAGGCTTTCTGGAATGTGTATAAAATAGATGTGAATTGTTATATTGCATACAAGATGCTTGTGCAAGCATATGTTCTGTTTGAAGTACTTTTGTATTCAGTAATTACCGATAATGGTAGTTCCTTTGTCTTGCATTGTCTGAAGGTGATGTTAATGGAAAAAATCTTGTGTTTTTTACAAAGTAGAGAGCCCTCTGGGGAAAAAAGCCTTCCTTTGAATTGGTTGTGTTTGTGTTTGAAATTGCAGTCTTTTATTCTTTGACAAGAAACACTGTCAAATGGTACAGGAAGGTTAATCTTTCCTTTTTTTTTTCTTTTTTCCTCTTCCTTGAGCAGTTTGGCTTGCTACTCAGAATCATAGTATGCTTGTGACAGAGACCACAGTGGTCCCTTTTCTTCCCGTAAATCCTGAGTATTCCTCAACCAGGAATCAGGTATGCAATCTTCTTAATACCATAAAACTATTTATTTAATGGGTTGGGTATTCTAAGTAATATTGCTGTACCATACCTCATCACTGTAGAAGGTTACTACTTGTAAAGAGGTTAAAACAGTTTCACATTTTCTGTGCCCTCGAGGGTGCAGTCAGATAATTTAAATCACACTTTTTGCAATAAATGTAATTGAACAATCTACTCTCTGTCAGTGCTACAGTCTTAGTTTTACCTGGCAATTCTGCTGTTCATCTAATACACAATGTTGGTTGTTTTTTTTTTTCCCCTCTCTGCATTATTCTGTAATTTAGGGAAGACAGAAACTGGCTCGATTTAATGCCCATGAATTTGCTACATTAGTTATAGATATTTTAAGTGATGCCAAACGGAGACAACAGGGGAATCCTCTCACTGGTTCAAAAGGTGAGTATGCTTTTTGTTGTTGGCTGTTCTATATGCAGTTCTTCAGTAGCTTATTTGATACCATAGTGTCATTCAGAAGTACTATATGAATAAAGAAAGAGACTTATACTGTTCTTATAAATAAGAACTAAGTAGTGTGGATGGCAAGCTGTTGAGAATGTGCATTAGGCCATCAAAACAATGCCCAAGTACAGGAGATCTGTCTGTTAAGGTTAGTATTTGTTATGCAATTAAATCAAGTGGCATACTGGCAATTCAGGAACATCTTTTTATGAACCAGACAGAGCCATAGTTCTAGCCATGATGGTCTGAAACCACATCTGAACACTAATTCTCCCTCTGGAGAGAAAATAATAAAAAAAAAAATCTCTAACTTTTAATTTTGCCTGTACGATTCATTTGAATTTTGACATCTTTTTCCAGTGTAGTCTGTTTTGGTTTTTTTCCCTCATGTGAATTTTTATTAAACTGCTAAAGCATGGTTCTCACCACTTGTCTGAAGACTTAAAAGAAAAGACAAAACCATAAAACTTTGACCTTTTGGACAGTAATAATCCGTACCTATTAAGTGGATCTAAATTATTTTCTTTTTAACTGGGCAACTCAAATGAGAATTTATTATGACGTTTTGTGTTGTGCCTCTGATTGAAGATCTCTTCTGATTTCACTTTTTAAAAATCTTTACTTTAAAGTGTGCGTTTCCATTTCTTCTCCAAACTCACTCCTGTGTTTTTAAATGGTGTATGTGTATCTACAGAAAATGTGGAACTGATACTCAAATCAATCAGCAATCAACATAGCAGTGAAAGTCAGGATAATGACCAGCCTGATTATGACAGCGTTGCTTCAGATGAAGATACGGATCTGGAAACAAATGCTAAATCAAACAGACAGAAGGTGGGTTTGAAATATTTATACATGCTCCAAATTTTGCTAACAAAGGTAATCTGTAGTGAATCTTTCTTTCCCCTTGTGAGGGGATTTAAAATGCGTACGTTATCAGGAAATTAATACTGTAATTTTCAAATTGATTTCAGAATCGTGCCTCAGTCTCTGAACTTTAACAAAATTAAGTGTTGTGACTTAAGGAATTTTTATTGTAAATAAAATGCTCCTCTAGAAAATTAATGTGCACCACTGTGTGTGTCTGGAGTTAAGGTGTAGATCTAATTGCATAGATGAAATAATTGGATCTACCAAAACACTCTTACTCAGCAGTTCCATGGTATTTCATAAACATCTAGTGCTTCCTACTGAAGAAATATTTGCAGCAGACCAGCAGTGACTGAGTGTTTCTGAAGTAATGCAGCATTATAAAAGAGGGGCAGTAAACCTAGTAGTTCTAGTTTAATCTTCCCTGGTAACAGAGATATTTAGTAATTGATCTTTTATGACTTTCCATTTCTTTATTGCATGTTTAAAAAATAAATTAGTTTGTAAGAGTATTGTGTCACGGCACTGCAAAAGGGTTTTGTACATAGAGGAGCTAAGAGTTGATTGATTTAAAATTTATTTTATATTGGACTAAAATTATTTTAATGGATGGATCTTACTAACTCGAACTTAACTTGAACCATGATTCCCTTAAACTAAGCACATGAAAAGCTGTCGAAATCTCATTATCTTACTTTCTTTCAGTAGTGTGTTTTTTCAGTGGTGTAACTGTTGTTCTCTTTCTGTCCATAGAGCCTGGATTCAGACTTGTCAGATGGACCAGTGACAGCCCAAGAATATATGCAAGTTAAAAATGCATTGGTGGCTTCCGAGGTAAAGATTCAGCAGCTGATGAAAGTGAACATCAACTTGAGTGATGAGCTGAGAATCATGCAGAAAAAGGTAATGGGCACAATCGTGTAACCACTTCATTTCTTGATGTGTCTCAAGTTGACCAGAATAAAACTGCTGAAACTGAAGGTGCAATTACCCAATATTAGGATAGTAGGAAAACTTATTTTCAAATGGACCTGTTGAGCTCTTCGTGTCTAAGGCCAAGCTAATTCAGCAGATTTGAGTATCTTTAAGTGTCATCCCTCTGTTACAGTTGTGTTCAGCCTTTCAGATCCATTGCAGTGGTGAATACTGAGAGGAGCTTAAGAGATCTCAGGGGGTTTCCTTGGTCTTTTAACAACTTGGGCTAGTTAAGCATTTCTCTTCATCAATTGAATTAGCTTTTCACTTGTGTTAAGTTTCTTTAAACAGATATTTAGGGTAAAAAAAATCTTTAGGGCCTGTGAATTAGTAAGTATTTATGTGGTGTAGCAGCAGAAAGATCATTGCTGTGCTGCAGTTGAACTCATTTTGAAAGATGGCATCACCAGGGCTCACCTTGAAGATGAGTTGCATTGATTTTATGTCCTGATGCTGTATGTATGATGTGTAGCGTATATATGATATAGAGTGGCTCTGGATTGATGAAGGATTGATGCAGCTGTGCACCATTGCAGGTGCAGGCTGGGAGGGAGGTGTAAGAGCTGGCTTAGCTCGGAGCTACTGGGAACTTCAGTCCAACATGGGAATTTTCTGCTGGGTTGCAAAACACCAATATATTTGTACAACCAGCAATTCTTATGACATTTATGTCATTCAAGAAGCTCTTTTTTTATCTTTGTTTTCTAAGCAAGGGCTTAGAAGGTCACAACTAAAAAAAATAATCTAGTCCACTTTATGTATCATCCTGCTACCTAACTGTGTATCTTTTGCGTGGCAATTACTAAGCAAAAGAGGCTAATTAAAGAGGGGCACTTGATGACCGCTACTCTAGAGTACATTCTTCCTAAATAAAAATGAAAATAGCTCAGTTAGTTTAATGGGTGTTCTAATGGAAAAAGTTAGTTTTTATGCCTGCATGGGTTTTTTTGGTGCTTATAGGTGGTTAAGAGCTTCGTCTGAGTTTACATTAGCTGTTGGCTAAAACTGAACCAAAAGAGCGTTTATAAAATATGGAAGGATTTTGGAAGGAGGACACTATAAAGTTGACCTATTTAATTGCCTCCAGTGTCAAACTTCAGAAGGGTACCCTGGCTTCTGGCTGATCCTCAGATCTTAAGACTTGATGCATCTTTCTACAGAGTACACCAAGTGAGGAGAAAAAGCATAAATTATCTTGATAGAAGCCTGCATGTTTGATTTAAGGTTCTGGGAAGTGCTCTAGGCAAAATAGGAATGGTCTCGAAGTTTCGTATGATGCAAAGTAAATGCAAGTGGTAAATACACAATTTCCTGTTTAAAGGGCATTCAACTGTTAAAATATTCTACTCAATCATTATTAGAGAATTGCTGGTAGTGACTTTCTTTACATCTTTTCTTTATGATGTGTTAATATAGCAAACTTACTCTGAGTAACTCCACCAAAAAAATTAAAGTTGTTGCATTTTTACTATCCACCAAATACATAGTATAAGAAGCTTTAAAATTATTTCTTGTTGGCTTCTTAGAAAGCAGTAGCTGATACTGAATTTTCATAAACTAAGCTCTCTTCTTGCTTTGCAGAGCAAGCTCTGGTTTCCTTTGCGCTGCCTCTGGTGTCTGTGCTGTAGTTTTGGCATTTTCAGATTTCATGAGCCTTACGTTAAAGTCCTCTTTAAGTTCTTGTACTGACTGCTGAAATGGACCACTTTGCTTGAAAAAAGATTTTGTTGGCAGTCCATCCCCCCACAGCCTCATTATATTACACGATTCATGTGCCAGTACAGCCAGGCTGGAAGAAATGGATTGTGTGTTTTAACTGTGACAGCCAATTTTACAATGTAATTTAGCAAAAAGTGTTGGAAATCAGCACATAAATATTTCCATATCTGAAGCATAAATGTTTCTGTGCTTATACTAAGCAAGTCAAGTAGATTTTGAAAAAGAAATCAGCTTCTAGTGGCTGGATTTGCTAGTAAAGCTGACAAGCGTGTATTGTAGAGTCAGTTTGCTTTTGACGCTTGCTATTAGAAAAACAAAGTCCCACTGCTAAACATTTCTTTCAGCTTCAAACGCTACAGAGTGAGAATACCAACCTCAGAAGACAGGCCACAACCAATATCTATCAGGTCCAAAGTGGTTCTGAATACACAGACCCAACCAACAATTCTTCTTTAAAGCGCCGACCGTCTGCGCGGGGTAGCAGACCCATGTCCATGTATGAGACTGGATCAGGTCAGAAACCCTACCTCCCCATGGGAGAGGTCACGTACCCAGAAGAAAGCATAACGAGACTGCAGCCTTTCCCTCCACACGTAAGTACAACTGCTCACGCTTCTGCATTTCTTCTCACGTTCGGCTTTTCTCTCTGTTCCAGCTGTGCTCGTTCACCAGAGCTGTGCAACCCTGTGTTGCAGAGTAAATTTGAACTGTAAGAACTGTTAATGTTTGCTGTATTAACATGTCTGCAGGAGCTCGGTGTTTTGAAAAATAAGAGCTAGAACAATTCTGGAATATGTAAACTGGAGCTTTTAGCTTCTGCTCAGCTGTTTTGGTATTTGGCATATATGTATTGTGGTTAAAACAATGTGTGGCTGCTTGAAAACAAAGAGAGGATAAATAAATAGTATTCCAAGAAGGTAGGTAAAGTTCCTGGATTTCTTTGAGATATACAGACGTGTGCCAATTTGTGGAATTTCAGAACCACCTTCCAAAAGTAAAGTAAAATTGAAGCTAACTGTTTCATTAAGCCACCAGTTTGTTATTTCAAGTTTGGAACTGGAGGCTGAAGGTGGTTCAGATCTGTCAGCTGAACAAATTCTTCAGGTTTAGTATTTTCCTGTCTGATGTGCTGTAGTGGAGAGGGAGTTCTGTGTCGGCCATGAGGATTGTGCACTGACGTGTCCACGCTTTAGATACGCGACCCAACACACAAGTGCTTATTAATTTTACTTTTTGCATCTTTTTCAGTTGCCCTGTGGGCAGAAATGTAAACCAGTATTTTTTTAGGCACATACTGAACATTTTTCAGTATGTTCCATGTATGTTTCCCTGCGTGTTCCAAAGCAGATCGTTGAGTGCACTGGGGCATCAGTAGAGAAATTTGTATGATGGGTTTTCCCCCCTTTCAATTAAATAAATGAGAACTTCAAACTATGAAATCTGGATCGTTTTAAACTATATTGGCGTGTTGATACAAAGGCAGTTCTGGCAGCAGAAATGTCAGAATTCTTTTGTTTGCTGCAGCGTTTGCAAAATATTACAGTACTTTGTATAGGTCCTTTGGTCGTTTGGTGTGAAATTTGGATAGAAGTAGTGGTTCTGAAGCAATAACTTGTTATGTGGAGTTAATTAATGTGGTATTATGGTGAATGTATTTTATTCTCTGTGGAATTTAGCACCTCTGGGATATCAATATTAGAATTAACACAAAGTCAATCGCATTTTGAAAGAATAAAGTCCCACTCAGGCGTAGTCAAGTTCTCAAAATCTTTCTTGCTTTGTCATCTCCATCGTTTTAAGAGTGTTCCTTTGTTTCAGTTAAGAATTTATTTGTGTTTTGTTTTTTGGTTTTCCCGAGTGTTTTTCTCTTTCCCATTTTTAGATCGGGAGGAGTGCGTTTGTGACCTCCTCTTCATCTCTACCTTCCTTCCCCTCCACGCTTTGCTGGTCAAGGGATGAAAGCACACGAAGGGTTAAGTACCTTCCCACTTGATCTTTTACCTGGAGGAGGTGGCAATCTCCTTTGATTACGCCTCTGTCTTCTCCCCTTTGCTGAGAGCCTTCATGCTTGCATGGAGCAGTATTTCATCACTTTCTGTTTCTTTGCCACACGCTGTGGATACTTGCCTCTTTCTAACTTCACAACGGCTAAAATCTTTGGCATTTAACACCATGCACAGTCCCTCCAGATCATTTCTTCAACTGCGTAACACTGAAAACAACCAGAAGAGAAGTCGATTGCTGTTTGGACATTAATTTGGCAGGCACTCACTGATATTTCATAAGCCGATGTATAACTTTTCCTACTGACTAAAACGCACTGCATGAGGCGTACGAAGCGCGCTGGGTCCTGGCTTTAAAGCCTGCTTTCTTCGGGGGCTCTCAGCTTGCACCAATCCAAATTGGTACTGATTGACTGTTTATCTTACAGATGTTTATTACTTTGTTTGAAGTGAGTTCTTTAAGTGTCCAAACAGATACTCATATTGTCCTCTGATACATTTAGTATCAGCTACTCTGCTGCTCACCTTGATAGTTGAAAGACTGAGCATGGGAATTGTTTTTAGGAAGACTCCTTTCAAGTTGAGATTAAAGACACTGAGAGTGTGTAAAGGCAGCCTATAATGTTCCATCAGGATCTACGGAACTTTGTAGGGGTTTTGTTAGCTGCAGTACTGACTAGGAAAAAAGTTGCAGTGTTACCGAGAAACCATTAAATGCATTCTCTAAGCTCACATTGTTCTAAAGACACTGTTTTTGCTGTGGCCTCATCTGTGAGCTATTAGCTCTTTGAGGAAGCCTTGCCCAGCTTCTTAACCATTTTGTAAACACTGTTCTCTTTTTGTAGCAGGACACTTAAATCTGGTTTCACTCAAATTTGTTTGCTAGATGCAAGCATAAAAAGGACGCACTTAGCAAAGCAAACAGTTTGATAGACGAGTCTGTCCATGACAGCTTCTTTTTAGACTGTTTTACTTGGGATCCTTGAACTGGTGGCAAGTTACAGATTCCAAAGATGGGAAAAGCTCATGGTATTTGCAGCTCTAGAATAACATCCAGTTGGGGCTGTGAAGGGGTTGTAGTAACGGACTCTGAGCAGGCACAGCTTGTTGTGTCACACTGATGGATGCTGAAGGCGAACAGCCCATGGCTTGGGCACTGCCGATTGCCCTGCCCGAGCTACCAACCTGCCCTGCTGCGGAAAGGAGCCTCCGTCATCAGAATGAGTCCATTACATTTTGAGGTCTTGCTCTGACTAAACCTCTTAACTTCAAAGCAAATATTGATATGAGGCCCTTTGGGCTGTTTTTAGATGTTTCTGTCTCATTTCTTAGAGAATAATGAGTAGCATATACCCAGTTTTTTGTATCATGTGTTCAAGATTGAGGCTTTGCTTATTTCTGTGGTAAAACAAGACTTTCTGAGAGTAAACTTGAGAGAGGAGTTCATTTATTTCTTTGTAAGACTTAACTGAGTTTGAGTATCTTTAAAGAAGAGTTCTCTCTTTTTGCTCTGCTATTTCTGTGTGGTTAACATAATGAACTCTGTACAGTCTGTTTCTTGGACAAGCATTGCATAGTCTTCAGTGAAATTTTACTATATAGTACTAAATCTTTCAGAAAACCCCAAGTCTGTGGGTTTAGATGTTGAGTGGTCATGATCTGGCTTCTTCCTGCCAGGATAAAGAACCTGCTTCTTCAATTCTTGTGTCCCCATTTTATTTTGACTGTTCAGTGTTTGGACATACAGGTTGAGAAAATACTAGATTTGCAAGTAGGGCTGGATGATAAAACTTGCAAGGGAATATCCTGCTTGGTCAAATGCAAACCTGGATTTGACTGCAGCTGACAGCAGTACTGTGTAGTACTAGAAACCTGCAGAGGTTTTGTTTGTCTTTATTGTACACTGATTTTATACCATATCACTGATTCCATAATATCCTGTTCTTGTAATTCATTGTTGTCATTTGTATCTCTGACTATAGCATAGAGCTTTGCCTCTCATCATGTTGTTCACTATACATCTTGGAAAAGGGAAAGGTCAGACCCTACACAAATAGTTTCAAATCTTCAAAACATGTCACTTCTACAAGTGACATTGCGAGCCTTCCTGAGAGACGAGTGTTCAAAAAATGCTTGATTTTTCCTTCTGTGCAGAGTAACTTGAAAATGGATGGAAAGTGCTGATACTCCAGGTGCTTCAGAGTTAAGAATTATTGGGTTTGGCATTAGATGAATGCTTAACAAATGTGCTGGATCTTAACCAACGAAAACCAATTTCTAGTCACATTTTTGGTCTGCCCTCAAGGCAGAAGTGTTATTTCCTAAGTGTATAGATCAGGGATGCAAATTGGAGGTGTCCCCTGCAGTCTAACGCTTGAGATTCCCTCCTTTTAAGAGTTCCTGCAGAGCTCCAAGGCTGGTTCTTCAGTGGTGAATGGTGAAGGACCCTGTTACATGAGCCATCTTCAGTGGCCCTCTACTCTTGATGGTTGGGCTTCACACCCTCGTTTCATCCTATGCTCTGCTGTGGGCCACAGCTCTCATTTATTTGACCTCCTACCCCTATTTTGGCCTCAAGTCTGCAGTGGGCTCCAAGTCTCATCAGTTTGGTTTTGGATGTTTCCTTTGGTCTTCTACCTGCAGTTTGACCTCTGCTCTGCAATGGGCTCCCACCATCATTTCAGTCCCCTGTCTTTATTTTGGATTTCCCATTGCACCAGTCCTCTACCTTCATTTTGATCTCTCATCCTGTGGTGGGCTGCCCATGCCTAGGTCAGCCAATGCTCTGTGGTCAGACCCTATGCTTGATTCAACCTCTATCACAGGCCTCCCATGCTTGGTCCAGCTTCCTACTCTGCCATGGGCCTCCCATCGTGTGCTGGGCCTCGATTCGCATTTCAGCCTCACGTGCTGGGTTTGGTTTCAACTCGTGTTCAACCTCTCATGCCGTGTCTGGCCTCCAGGCTGCTGTGGGCCTCCTGCTCTTGGTCTGGCCTGTTTTTCCGTGGTGGTCCTGCCCTCTCTGTTTGGCGTCCACCTCTATGCCCACATGGCAGTTTTGGTGGCAGGGGAAGGACGCCGTGTTGTGACCATCTATCCTGCTCCAGAGCCTGGCTGGGTGCTGGGCCAGAGCCCTTTCTTTGGGTCTGGTGGGGCCGTGCTGTGCCAGCAGCACCTGGGGCCTCAGGTGGAAGCTGGCAGCAGGAGCCCAGCACAGGGCAGGGAGTCACGCCAGGCTCCAGGGTAGCGGCTGGTGCAGGGGCTGTTGTGCTAAAAAGCAAGACCACACATGTGGGACGTGGCACTGGCCTGGGGCTCTTCTTTCCTGCACAGATCTGAAATCAGTTTGTATTCATTGCAGGCCTCGAAGCTGGAGAAGCAGAGCAGCGTGTCTGAGAGCGACTACGATAACCCCACCACCGCTCTGGAGCTGGAGGAGACGGGGTAAGTGTGGTGACACAGAGCTGAGGGTGCAGTGACACAGCTGACAGCACAGCACGGTGCTGTTGGAGGACAGGGAGTTGTGTGAGCAGCCAGCTCTAACCTGCAGGATCGATCTCTGCTGTGCTCCTTTGCAGGTCAGGCAGGAAGGGCCGGCAGAGGAGCGTCATTTGGCAGGGGGAGGGATCCATCCCTGAAGACACCGACACAGCCCCCAGCTCCAGTTTGCCCAGTACAGAAGATGTGATTCGGAAAACTGAGCAGATAACTAAGAACATTCAGGAGCTTCTGCGAGCGGCACAAGAGAACAAGCATGACAGGTAAGGCACGAGTGCTGGAAAAGCTCTGGAATTTGTGAGGAAATAAGGACAATTCTCCAGGTGCTCTCAGCACATCAGGTAGCACGCAGCTTCTGCTCCCTCAGGGACTTCTGGCCCAACTGAATGATAACTTTGCAGAATAGCTTTGAGTGAGTAAAAGTGATCCTGCCCTTGGCTGGTCATCAGGTGGTGCTCCTGTACTGCTTGCTTGGAAGATTGTAAATAGAGTTACGTCTTCCCAGGTATGGACACGTTTTGGGTCTGGAACAGCTTTGTTATCCAGAAGATCTGAACTTGCAGACTGGCAGGTCTTACATTCTGCCTCCTGTCCCAGGTTCTGTGCCCGTCCTTGCCTTTTGTAATTTGTGTTAGCCCTCGCTTCCTGCCTTGCTGTGAGAAGTGCACAACAATGGGGCCACTTTTGTTCTGTGTTTTTTCCTTCTGGTACTTTTCTATTTTTAGAAGGGACAGCACGGGCCTCTCCTTCTCACACTGGATGGCGAGTTAAGACGTGTTTGTGCTGAGCTCGTTGCCCTTGGCCGCAACCTTTTCCACTGTAATCCCTTGCTGCTTGTTTTCACAGATCATAACGAGAAGCAACAGCAAGGGAAGCTTTAGATGAGTTTTGGGTTTTATATATATCACAGTTTACAGTATTTGAATTGTTTTTAAAAAATCATTGATTTTTTAAACAACCTGTTAAGTTATGTTCTTTCTTGTTTTCTCTTATGTATCATATGTGGAGTGGGGTGTTGGCCAGTACTTAAATGAATTTAGTCTTGCAAAATGTTGAACTCTAAAGCTGCTGTTCTTTGTTTTCCTTGTCTTTGTCTCTGGCCTGAGAACTGCACAGCCAGGAGATGGAGTGGGCTTGTTCCACTGTTCCCCTCTTGCAGCAGGGGAACGTTTCCTTAACAAAATGAGATACTCAGGGATGTAATAATACGGCTTCCAGCTCATGCTGGGAACGTTGTAGATAAAACTGCATAGATAATCAGAATAATAAAATGGTGCAGGAATGTAATCTATTAATGAAACACCCTTTTTGTCTCACTTTCTTCTGTTCCTTTTTCCGTGCTCAACTGGCCGAGCAGACCGTTAGAGCGCGCGGGCACGCTCAAGCTCAGACACAGCCTGGGCTGCTTCGGCACGCTGGTCCCCTGGGCTGAGAGAGCTCCCCTGCAGCGTGGTCCTGCCTCCTGGTACTCTGGCCTCTGTCCCTGCCTCCCAGGCACAGTGTCCTTTCTCTTTCTCT